GGGGTAGAGGACAAAGGTGGGGGGAGGGGGGGGGGGGGGGGGGCGAAAGACACCCCTCCTCTCCACACAGCATTTTAGGGGGGAGGTGGGACACAAAGCTTTGGCTACTATTCGAAGTAGGATGGGATCAGCCTCTCCCTGTTCCATGGGGCTCCAGCTCCAAAGAAAAATAGAAAATGAACTACAGGGGTGTTTAACCAGCAACAAGGAGGGGGTGGCCAAGTAGCCCCCCTCACCAAACAACGCCCTTGAGGAAGATTTTGAGGGTAAAAACACTCCAAACTTTGAACTTCAACAGGAAAAAAATCCCCCCTGAATGGCCAAGGGCAGGATTTGGGGCGTTTTGCTTGGAAGCAAAGGAAAACCTAAGGATGGCAGGGGACAAGGGACACCAGTGAGCGGGGTGGGCTCAGTTGCAGAGGGACAGCGAGGAGCCCACATAGAAGAGCCAGAAAAACGGGAAGATCCTCTCGGAGAAGGCGGCGGTGAAGGTGAAGATGGGAGCCATGTTGTCAGCGTTGTAAAATGCCACCCACCCGCCCTCATAGTCCAGGTACACCCCGATCTTGCGTGGCCGCTCACAAAGGGACAGCGGTGTCTCAGGAGAGGTGAACGCCTGGTACTGATCCCAATTTTTGCCCTTCCAGTTGAGCCCCACCGCCCAAATCCCCTCCTCGGGGGCGAAGTCGACCTTCTCCTTGCGGCGCACGGACTCGCGGGCAGCGCCCAGCACCCAGCTCTCCCCGTCTCCCACCTCCACTTCCCAGTAGTGGCGGCCAGCAGAGAAGCCCTCGGAGGCCAGGACGCAGAAGGCGTAGTCGAAGCGTTTGGGATGAGCCGGCAGCTCCTGAGGGGCCCCACGGAGCCGCACGCTCCGCTTGTCCTCTGACAGCACCAGGTAGGGGTTGGCTGTGTCGGGATCCAGGGAGAGCTCGCCTGGGGGGGAAAAGGGGAGAGGTATTGTGGTATTGGCAGGTTGGACTCAGTGGCTGTGTCCCAAACCCAACAGGGACAACACAGGTGAGTCACCTCTTGGATCGTTATCCCGCCTCTATGGGGACTGATCTATTGTCTGTATCCCAAACCAGAGAGAAAGGACCCAGGCGAGCCACCTGTAGCATCTTGAAGAGTCCACAAAGAACCCAAGCCAAGCAATTCCAACCTTAACCCTTGGAAAAGGAAGCTTAGAGCCCACACAACCTCCAATCCTGGCAAATTCCCACATTATCTCTTGGAAAAGTGAAGTCACAGCCCCAAATCCCAGCCAGTTCCAAGCAAACCCCTGGAAAAGGGAGGTCTTACCCCAGTCCCGATGGCCTCACCTGTGTCATTCTCCAGCTCAAAGCGCAGGTTTTCTGCGGGAAGAGAAGGAAGGAATTGAGCCCTTGAAACCCCCAGAACTGCCCAAGCCATCAAGAATGATTCCTACTCCACACTTCCACACTCAAATCCCAGGGAAATCATTACTTTTCCACCTTTTCCCTGGGATGAGCCAATGCTCAAACAAACTAGAACTCTTCCAACCAGCCCAGGGGTGGAGTAAGACCCAGGCTCCATCCCAGCCCTGATTTTGGTGGACTTCCGTGTGGGATCCTGGCTGGGAAGCAGTGTTTTTTTCCAGGAAGGATCTTGTCAGGCTCACCCTTGAATTCCAGCAGCACTTCCTTGAGCACCGCACTCTTCTGGGAAAAGCTCTTCAGCTTCTTCTCCAGCTCGGAAAAGCCGGGCTCGGGCTTGAGGAACATCCAGCTTTCCAGGCTGCGGAGACATGGGAGTCAGGGACTCAATACCAGGGAACTCCCACTGGGAAGGGTTGAAATACCAGCTCTGGCCTGCAGCCAGAGGCTCCCAAGTTCACTCACCTGCTGCCAGCTGGGACGACACCCTGGAAGGGGAAGAAAACCCAAGGAATTTGTTAGGATCAGCATCTCTCCTATCTCAGAGATCCCAAAATCCTACCCAAAAACTGGAAGGATCCCATGAAGAGACTTGTCCCACCATAAAGACATTTTTGTTTCCATAAATGGAATTTCTCACCCCTAAAATTTCTCACCTATTAAAGGATTTTTTTCCCAACTAAATGGAAATATTTTGACCCACAAATAGAAGCTTCTTCACTTTTTTCACTCCATAAACAAGACTTTTTTGTCCCCATAAATGGAATTTTCATCCCATAAATAGGATTTGTCCCTGTAATTAGGATATTTTTGCCCAATACAAGGGATTTCTGTATCCATAAGTGGGATTTTTTTCCATAGAGACACATAACAGAGTCCCACCTCGCCAGGTGTGTTCCCTGTCCCACTGTCCCCGCCCTGCTCTGCCAGGAGCTTGTCCAGCTGGGCAATGTCCTCAGCCAGTCGGGCCACGCTCTCGTCCCTCCGCCGCCCAATGTCCCTCTCCAGCTCTTCCAGCCGGGAGAGCAGGAGCTGCTCCTTCTCCTCCAGGAAAGCCCGCAGCTCCTTGCACTCAGCCACGATCTTCTGCCGCTCCACCTCCGTCTGCTTCTGCAATTCCAAAGGAAATATCCCTGTGGAGGGCAAATCCCTGCAGCCATGGAGCTCAGGGAATCACCCCGAAGTGAGAGAATCTCTGGGGGCTGGGATTCCCATGGGGAGGAGGAACCCCCCAGGTGGGACCGAATTCCCACAGCTAGGAAATCCCCAGGTGAGACTGAACCCTCCAGGATGGGAACTCTGGGACCCCCAGCACTCACCAGCAGCTCCTCACTCTGCCGCTCCCGCTCGGCCTTGGCCTCTTCACGCCCTTTCCTCAGGGAGCTCAAGTGCTCCTGGGGCACCTCCTGGAAAGCAGAACAATGAGATCCGTTGGGAATTCTTCCCATGGGTGACCAGGAGGGAAGGTTGCTGCAGCTGAAATGGCCAAATTCACCCAATCTGGGATTTTTTTTTTTGAGCTGGAGCCAGCAGCTGCCCTGCTCCCCTCAACCCTGACCTCAGGCTGTGCCAAAAACACAATTCACCCCAACCAACCCAAAACTGAAAAAAAAAGTAAATTAATTTTGTCTGCCTGTGAGGAAACAAATTCCCTGGTCCCACATCTCCCAGGATCACTTCCCACATTCCCCCTCCTCAAGGTGCCCCAAAATTGGGCTGGAGGCACCCCCCCAAGAGAAGGAACTGCTGCCTCCAAACTGCTCATTAAATTAATAATTAATGAATAATTAATTAAACTCATCCTTATTTAAGTAGTTTGACCTCCATGGAGGACAGAGAAGTCCCAGCAATACTCTGCAAACACCAGCTGGCCTTGGGGGCAAATAAATCCACTTACTTTATAACTAAAGCCCAAAATACAGGGATTTTGACTGTTAAGAGCCAGAAGTTGCTGCCTTTGGAATTTATCCATGAGATGATAGCAATTACCAGGAAAAATAAAGAGAAGAGCTCAGCAACAACCAATTATTAAAAATTCATAAAAGTAGGTTAACGAAGGGGGAAAAATCCCAAGGGAGCGATAACCTGGATCTGCCTAAGGACGTTTGGGTCCTGAAAAAAAGGGCAAAATCCCAGATTTGGGGCGTGGGGACAGCCCCAGCGTCCCCGGAAGAGGAATCAGAGCAGTTCCGGGACAAAATCCTCTCTGAAAGATTTTAATAACCACAAGAACTACTGTGTGGTGGTTAATGATCCCACAATCCCCTTCCTTGATCCCTCGGGATCGTGCTGGTGCCACCCTCCTGCTGCCACTGCGCAGCGACATCGGCTCCGTCCGGCATCTTGGATCCCTCTGAATCCGCTGCTCCCGGCCTGGAATGGCGAGGCCTGGCCACCCACATCAAGCCCTTGCGCTTTTAATTACGAATTAATCCCCACAGTGATCACGACACGTCCCATATCGCGACATGGGGGAGCCCCAGCGCCGCCGGGAGGGTGCCGTTTTCGCTCTGCGTCACTCCTCAAGCACCCCTCGGGTTGTGGGGCGGGGGGGGACAGGCGGCTCCTGGAGGAGTCCCGCTCCACTTCCAGCCTGGATCGGGATCGGGCCGCTGGGATAAATAACCGCCCGCCCCTGCGTTCCCAGGCTCCAGCTCGGACCTGCCCCGGGAAGGGGGAGCGGTGGGTTTAGGGGGCTGGAGGGATTTCGCACGATCACCCCCGCACGCCAGGACACCCTTTTCCCAGTATTCTCCCAATTCAACCTCGCACCGGGAACACCTCCCGCTTACTGCATCCTACCCCGGGCTGTCCCTGTCTTGGGATGATTCAAGTCCTTCTACGCTCCGAATCCTGGGAACAGCGCCCAGCTGGGGAGGAGATCCCCCGTGAAGATCCATAGAGCCTGGAGGGACCCTTACTGCACCGCACACGTGGGGGGGAGACTGCGGGCTCATTTCTGTACTCCCCTGTGGAACTAGAGGTTACCGCTGCACCCAAAGGGCGCTTCCCCCCATGGAGAGGAAGTCCCTGGCGCACCCCCACCCCGTGAGATCTCCTTGGGCATTGCCAATCAGGGGTGGGGTGTTTCCGATCTTCTCCCCGCTTACTGCATCCCCCATTTCTGAGGGGGTGCCCCGCACCCCGAAAAAGACCCGGGACGGGGCGGGGTTTTCACTGCCCCCTAACACCCCGAGGGGGTTCGCACTGCTCTCCTTATCCGAGGGAAAGGGGCCCCGATGCCCCGCCGCCCCCTCGGGAGGGGGGTCCTCGCCGTCCTCCCTCCGAGCCATGCGCTGCGCGTGGGGGCGGGCGGAGTCCCGGCACTGACCTCCGCGGCGTGGGCCGCCTCCTCGGCGGGCAGCACAGTGTGGGCGCGGTGCTCGCGGGACAGGTGACACACGACACACACGGCCCGCCGGTCCTGCACGCAGTAAAGCCGCAGCGGCTCCCCGTGGCGCGGGCAGCGCGGCGGCCCCGGTGGGCCGGCCGGGGCAGCCGCGGGCAGCGGCGGCGCGGGCGGCCCCGGTGGTGGCTCGGCGGGGCCCGGCGGCAGACCCAGCTGGCGAACGATGTGCACGATGTTGCCAAGGGAGCGGTTGGGGCGGAAGAGGCGCTGCGGGACCGGCTCGCGGCACTGCGGGCAGCAGAGACGCCGTGCCGAGTCCTCCCAGCACTGGGTCACGCAGGCGCGGCAGAAGTTGTGCCCGCACTCGGCCACCAGCACCGGGTCGTTGAAGTACTCCAGGCACACAGGGCACGTCAGCTCGTCCTGCAGGCTCCGCGCAGCGCTGCAGGGCGCGGGGGGCGCGGCGGGAGGCGCAGGCGGCGCCTCCATGGCGGCCGCTGTCCCGGTGGCGGCCCCGATCCCAGTGGCGGCCCCGGTCGTAGCGCCGGTGACGACAACGACTCCCCAAACCCTGCGCGTCCCTTCCCGCACGGCACCGCCGCCCGACTGGCGACCCGAGGGCGGGGCCACGCCTGCGCCAGGGGCAGGAGCGGGACCACGCCTGCGCAGGAGGGGGAAGGGGCGGGGTTTGTGCTGCGCGTAACGGGGGGTGGGCGTGGTCAGCGCCGCTCCTGATATATAATGGGCGCGGCGTAGGGCGGGCGCTCGGCTGCGCTTGCGGAGGAGAGCGGAGGCCGCGACGGCCGCCCGCCGTGCGGCGTCGTTGTGCGCGTGCGCGGCTCGCGTGGAGCGCGGGGACGATGCCCGTAGGGCCCCGCAGGACGGACCTGGCGGTGAGGCGGGGGCGGGTCTGTGGGGTGACGGGTTTGGGGACCCCTGCGGGATTCGAGGAGGGGTATCGGGGTCTGTGGGGTGCCGGTATATTATATCATTGGTTTTTCTCAAATATTAAAATGAATATTATGTACATAACGTTGGAAAACTTTGTTGAATTAACGCAGTTGCTTTTATTTCTGCTATTAACGAAACTTAAAAATAGTAGTGTGATGCATATATATTTCTTAGGCTGTAGTATGATATTAAAATAAAGACTGCTTTTGTTCATATAACCCAGAGAATGAAAAGATAATCAGAACCAGCCCCCCTGCTTTCCCAGGTTATTTTATCCAGATGAAGACAGCAGTGACCAGACCTCCAAGGGAAAAATTCATTGAAACTCTGTTATCAGAGAGTCTGAGAATCAACGGAACCAAGAAGATTGATCTATTGGAGAGGGGGGAGTTGAAACTAAGCAAAGGAATATCTAAAACTTAAGAGAAATGTTTGAATCATGCATAAGAATGGATGGATATGCAAGAAATCGCTGCTTTTAAGGGACAATCCTTTGTTAGTAAGGCGTGCTCTTGGTTGAATGGTGAAGTACCCAGCCATATTTGTTCATTTTGCTTTATTTCTGTTTCCTAATTGTCTTTTTATTAAACTTTCAAAATGATACCGAAAAGGTTAACCTTGTTTTACACACCGGGAGAGGGGAGGAGTCCCCTACAGGTTGCTCAGACAGGGGGCTCCCCATAAGATGCAGGGAGACGTTGGATGTCTCAGTTCCAGTAGAATAGCGGGGTGTATGGGGATCTGCAGAATATTTTTGCAGGTCCGTTACTGTGTTTTTCAGGGGTGTATTGGGGTTTATAGGATGGGGTTTGGGGACCCTAAAGGGTTAGGGTGGGTGTATCAGGCTGTATAGGATGGCTTGGGCGAATTCCTGTAGGATTGAGGAGGTTTACCGAGGTCTATAGGATTTCTTGGGGGGTTGCTATAGGGGTTGGGGGGGGTGTATGGGTGTCTATAGGGTGCTGGGAGGGTAGCAGTCCCTATAGACTTTAGGATGATCCCAGATCCCTGGGGGATGGGGACGATGCAGAGAGCCCTATGATTGTTTTGGGGGTCTCTATAGGATGCTGGGTGTTCCTGGCATGAGGAGATGAGGGTGGACGGTTTTGGGGGTGGTTTTCACAGCATCAGCCTCTCTGCTGTGCCCCCACGGGTGTCAGAAATCTGCTCCAGGAACCTGAATTCAGGGAAAAATTATTCAAAACCTCCAGCCGTAGCAAAAACTACCCCAAAACCGCCATCAGCCCTTTCCCGGGAGATTTAGGGATTTGTATCTCTACTGGGAGCAATCCCTGCTCCACGAGACCGATGGAGAACACAACAGCAACATTAACCTCCTTTTCTTTTACGTTTCCCGTGTCCGTGATGAGATTGGCTTTGTGGAGGAAATATTTTGTTACCATAAGGTCGGGAAGGGCAGAAATCGGGGTTAAAAATAGGTTAACTGGTTAAAATTCGGAGTCAGAGCGGAGCTGCCCTCTTCCGAAATGGCGGCCTCGCCTTCAGGCACGGCGCGCGGGAAAATGGCCGCGGCCTCCCGCTCCCCATTGCTGCCAGTGCGGCTCGGCTCAAGATGGCGCCTGCGGCATGAAGCCCTGGGCGCCATCTCGGATGAGGGCAAGCCAGACACTGTTGCCATGCCGACGTGCCCTGTCGGGGGGCAACGCCCTCGGAGCGAGGGCGAGGGGCAGCGAAAAGCGACGTTTTGGCCTCCAAACTTCCCATGGAGGGGTCTTAGTACATCTGGGGGGGGCATTCCTTGATGTCGTGTTGCCCCCGTTAACAGAAAACTCCCTTTTTACCCCCAAAATCGTCTCCTTTTCCTGCTGTGAAGGGTCACGGCGGCCGCCGCAATGGGCGGGTCCTGCAGCCCCTTCCCCTCAGCCCACACTGGTTAAAACACCCCCAGTATTTCCCCGCTCCAAATTTAGGGTTTTTTTTCCCCGCAGCCCCCACAGGCAAAGTGACTCTTTAGCTCATCCCCATCCCCACAGAGGGGCGGGGGAAACCCAAAACCACTTTTTTTTTTTTTTTTTTTTTTTTTTTTTTTCTTTTTCCTTCACTGAGCAGTGTTGGGGTGTTTTTGTTTTGTTTTTTTAAATTTCCGCCCAGACCCGCGGTTCTTGCCGCCAGAGGGCAGCGGCCATTGTCCACAGCCCGTTCCTCCCTCTTCCACACCAACCCCCCCTTTTTTTCTTTTCTTTAATTCCTTCTTTCCTTCTTTTTTAAAACTCTTATCGCTTAGGATATAGGAGGGACCGGGCTCACACGTTCCCCACGTGCGCGTCCCCATTTTTTGCGGGGAAAAAGCGGATTTTTTGGGAAAAATAAAGGGGCGGTGGTGTGGTGGGGGCTTTGCCGACAGCACCTCCTGAGCCGGACCCTGCAGGTAATGGAGAGATTTGGGTAAGGATGGGGGAAAAGAGGCAGAAAAATGGCTTGTTTTTCCCCATCTCCATCCTTCCCTCCTCCATCCTCCCCTCAGGGTCCTGGATTTTCCTCTCTCTAGTCCCAGGGAAGGGGGAAAATGATAAAAAAACCCACAACGCTCTCACACTCCAAAACCCACCCTATTGTCCTTCCTCCTCAGAGGGATTCCTTCGGATGTGTAGACCCCTTTATTTCTGTTTATTTTAGCAGAGTGGCAAAATACCGAGGAATAAATAAAGTGGCATGAGATGCTGATGGGGACTCCAACATGCATAAAAATAAAGTGAAAAATAGCAGGAGGGATCCGTGCTGGAAACTGGCCATTTTTTCCTGCCATCACTAAGTTATTCAGAATCTTTCAATACACCCTCTTCCCCCCATCCTCCAGGAATAGTAATAAATTAATAAAAATTAGATTAATAATTTGGATCCTTATGCACCTGCTGCACACCTCCACCTGAGGAGGATGAGGAAGGACGAGTGGAGCAATGGGAATTTGGTTTTCCATTATTTTTGTAAAGGAAAGCATCAAATGCTCTTCCTACAGCTGGGAAAACTCCAATTTTCCCCCTAAGGCTCAGAGGATAATGGGGAAATAATGGGGTGATTTATCCTTTCTGGGGAGGAGGAGCAATTACTGAGGGGGTTTGGGGATGATCTGGAAAATTTGTGACACGATTCTCTAGAAAGAGTGTCCTAGACTCTGGGGATGAGCACCAGGGTTTGGTGCATTGGGAATGAGCTGTGTGGGTAAAATTTGGGTGAAAATGCCACTGCTCGCAGGGTGGAAGGGTGAACAGCGAGGGGGGACGGGCACACCCCCTGAGCTCTGGCCTGAGGGGCCCAGCTCTGCTTTGCACAAGCATCCCATGCCTTCCTCCTCCGGAGTGCCCAGGGGCTGGGTGGCCAAAGCTCTTCTGCCCTTCACTGGGGCGTGGAGGCCTGGAGAGGGGGACACCCTGCAAAGCAATGCCACAGCCCCACGAGAGCCCTGGCTGTCCCTGCCTCCTCCCAGCTCCTGAGGTGGGGATGGGGTGCTCAGAGTCCCCTCCACTTCTGGGGATACCCCACAGCCACACTGGGAGGGTGGTCTTGCTCCTGCCCCAGGATGGGAAAGGGAGTGGGGGGCGCAGGATACCCTGGAATGAGGGTTAGGGTGGGGATGTGGGCTGAAGCGGTGGGAAGGGGGCACAGGGAGGGGCAGCTGTGCCAGCCAAGAGGGTTTTGGGGGGAGACGGGGAGAAGAGGAATAGGGGAACCTGAGGGTTGATTTGGGGAGAGGTGGGTATCATTTGGGGTGGTGGGGAGACACTTTTCCCTATAACCCTCCTCATTCTCTGCTCTACTAGTAGGGGGGGTAAATGAGGGGGACTCAACTTGGGTGCGTGGCAGGGTGAAACCACACAGGAACTCCCTTCCGCAGGGATTTTTGGGGCCAAACAGCTCAGAAAAGAGTCCTGGGGACCTCTACTCATCACCAGCACTGCTGGGACCTCCCCAGACTTGATGGGGGTGTACAAAGGACAGGTCGGGATGCATTAAGGTGGGAATGCTGGAGAAGCCAGGCTGGGTTTCCTGGGCTTGGAGTGACAATTAAAGGAGAAGGCAGTTGAGCCAAAAAGCAAAACTCCTCCACGTGTCTGCGTGATTTTGTCTCTGGAGAAGAAGGTACTTGTGGAGTTTCCTGCCTGGAGCAGGGAAAGCATCAGAGCACAGGGTCAGAGGACAAAGAGACACAGGTGTCCATGAGGTACAGGGCTCCCAGTTTATTCCTGCTGTTTGTTTGTCCCCCCATCCCTCCCCGACGGAGCCAAGTGCCGTTTCCTTCAGGAACAGGCTCCTTCTGCCCCAGATTGTCCCTTTTCTGGGGTCTGGACTGCAGCAAGTGCAACATTCACCCATTGCTGTGGGAAGACACCAGGGCAGATAAATCCCTGTGCCAAAAGCACCCCTGTCACTCACCCCAATGCCCTTCAAGCGCCACTTGGTGTCCTTTGGTTTGTCCCCAAGACAAGTTTTCCCTCTGTTATCTCTCCACATCCGTCACACCGAGGAGAATCTTGGTCCTTACTGGTCCTCACTGCTGTGAGCTCCAGTCACGTCCCCAG